ATACCCAGTACTGCATAAACAAAAAAAAAAAAAAAAAAAAAAAAAAAAAAAAAAAACAAAAGATGTACTGGTAGTATGAGAGTACCGAATACTGGCGCTTATATTGAATCTCCTATGTTTTCTTTATATATGAGAAAAGTTATTCGTTAATTGTGTGCATATCTATGTCATTTATCTAAAAATCAACTTTAAATATGAGTGGTCATTAAGGCATTTATAGTAGAAATTTTTCAGACCTCAGCAGTCTGAACTGGGAAATTATTTTAAACACATTACAGCAATTTACAAGTGGTAAGAGAACACTACTTATGCCACCACTATTATTTATTTTTGTGTTATTTAGAGTTTACTTTCTTAAAAGATGTTTTTGCAATGAGGAGGGGTTTCCTCAATGAAGAGTATTCTTCACAGTTGATGAATGCTAATCACTTGTTTAAGAACAGGAATATGGATCGCTGGCTGTAAAGAACAGTTTGTCATCAGCCCTTTCCTTTTGTAAAGGTAGTAAAAGATCTGTCAGATAATGAATGAGTGGTAGGAATGCTTGAAGTGGTCACATTTCAGAATTGTTCCTGTAGAATTTTTGTTCTGATTCCTAAGTCTTGTCTGGGAAAGAATGACTGCGCATTCAGCCCTATTTGGGAAACTACCTTTCTCTTAATGGCATAAAACTCTGCAAAGTTTGTTTTTACTTGATATGATATAAAATTAAGAGAGAAAACAGAAAGGTTAAGAACTGTAATATAAGGGCAAAAAAAAAAAACTGGCATTTAGGCAAAACGTTGTTTGATAGACTTAAACTTTTCTTATTCTCTCTCCAGAACAGAATACGTATCACAGCAGGAGTTTCAATGGGTGTTCTAAGAAAAACACCGTACTAGAATACATGCTGGAGTGCTGACATGCATCAAAAAGTAGTAGGATATATTAATTCAGTTTACAGTTATAATTTTGTCAAGTTTGTTATATTTTAGCATTACTTAGCCTAAATTACATTAAATCCTAAAAGATAGTCATAATTATTTCATTACACTGATGCTATGCTTTCATAGGGAATTTTGCTGTGATAGTGATCCGTCACTGGGGGTTGCGATTTATTTTTTATGGAGAATATTGAAATAGGTTCAGAGGTTCACTGACAAAAAGATATTCATTAAATACTGTAATTTGCTAATGCCATTGGTAAAGTAGAATTTCCCTATGAAAAAAAGCTTCTGTAAGGAAATGGGGGTTAGTTTATTATTAATACTTATTTTAATTGCTTCCTGTTTAATTTCACTGTTATCTATTCTGAGTGGAGAAAAAGAGTAGCTATCTCCTTAAAATGTTTAAGAATTCTAATTGGATTTTATCTTCAGAACTACTGTATTTAATGGTTGTATAAATATAGGAATCTGTTATTTTTGGCGAGACAGTTTACATGTTTTTATCTCAGAGTTTAAGCTTGAATAAATATAAAAAGGAATATACAGAATTTTCCATGTAATTTCAAGATATTTGGGGGACAGAATGTTTAAACCCCACTTCAGGTTACCATTTTTTTCCTTGCTGATGTGAGAAACATCCTGTGACAGAAATCTGAAGATTTATTTTATTTTTCAATTAGCTTAGCACTGACTAGATGACTTAAACTGAAAATCTTTTTAGAGTATTACTAATAAGTACAATGCTTTAGGATATTTTTAGGTGTAGGTGGTCACTTTTACCATTATATAAAGTTACACAAGATAAATCTGAACTGGGCATTGTTGAAAAAGTTACATATTTAACCATAAGCCAAAGAACAAAAGCAACCAAAAACTTAAGCTTTAGGCAACTTTACTGTGAACTAAATATTCTAGAAATCTGATTGTGTCTGTATCAGTTTGTGTACTGTGTGTAAGAATATATGCATTTCTCTTGTAGCCACGTCATGAATATTTTAATGTCCCTGTGTACTAAATGACTACTCATCAAGTATGCAGAATTTCCCAGAGGAAATAGAGAGCTGATATACTTATGAAAGAAAATGTCCTCAGCATGGTGACTGATTATATGTAAAATATTCAGAACATTTCAGAACTAATATCTTCACGATTGTATTTTTTCCTGTTCGTAACTTTCTTTCCTATTTCATTTCAGTCTATATATGTGATCTGGATATAGCTTATTCCTGTCCACAAATGGTTTAATTTCTTCTTGACAAAAATATGTATTTTTATCTTAAACACATACATACACATCTGTGAATAATCTTACAAGAGAAAAACATGGCAATCATTAATGTTACCAAAGAAAATATGGCTAAAATGCTCCATCAAAATAAGCAGAGCCATAATATTTAGAGTGGTTTGGTAGTCAGTTGTTGAAGAGAAAAACTATATTTAGGGGCTGGGGATTTAGCTCAGTGGCACAGCGCCTGCCTGGCAAGTGCAAAGTCGTGAGTTCGATTCCCAGAACTGGAAAAAAAAAACAAAAACAAACAAACAAAAAAAAAAACTATATTTAGTGTGATTATCTTATACTCTATATGAGTTGATGTTATTTAATGCTTTGTTAGCTATAGTTTTATATTTCTAATTACTAAAACCTTTAACATTGATCACTATTGTGTATGCTTTTAATAAAACTTATAGCATATTTTATTATAAAAGGAAAAGTACCAAATAATTCATTGTTTGTAGCTATAGAATTTAAGGGCTTAGTTAAGTAAGCTGTCATTAAACAGTAACTTCAGAAGATATTCAAACTGGAAGGCCTACAAAAATATGTTGTGAACAAACTTAGTGTTAGGCAGGTATAGAAATCCGTTTATTTCCATTCTGACCATTCTTGCTGTAAGACACTACATTGGCAGCACTGGGAAACATTGATCTTTCATTTCCTGACCCCCCCATCCCTTCCCTGCCCTGCAATATGTTGTTCATCTGGTTTTAATGCTGCATAAATATGCATTGTCTCATGCCTGTTCGCTTTGGATGCTGTGTGCTGAGTTGTAACAAAATGTTGCTTCTTTTGTTATCTGTATACAGCTGCTTGCTTTAAATTAGTAGATTCTGAAATAGCTTTTCTTGCATGTCTAAAATAAAAGTATTGCATGTACTTTGTCTCATGTGAATGACTTTTTTCTCCATCCCTTTTGATAAAATAACATTTTGTATTTTCATTTTCCTAGGGTTTTTTTTTTATTGTGGTAAAAAACATAACATAGAATTCACCGTTTTAACCATTTCTAAGTGTACAGTTTAGTAGTACTAAATACATTCACATTGTCATGCAACAGATCTCCAGAACTTTTTCATCTTACAGAACTGAAACTCTGTACCCATAAATCAACTGTTCTCCATTTCTGTCTTCCCCAGGCCCTGGTAACCACCATTCTACTTTCTATCATTTTACTACTTTAGAGAATAGTTTTTCTGGATAATTTGTAGGTACATTTTTAGTATGAACATGTGGAAATTAGATGTTATATTATAAACAATTTGTAGAAAATTCTGTCTGTACAACCTTAAAGGAATAAAATGTGTCCATGAAATTTAGGACTTTTAGAAAGGACAAATATCTTAAATAATGTATACTCAAAAAGTAACACGATTCTCTTCAGGAAATACTATCGAAGACTTCAGGCAGGGAGCACATAGGGGAAGTGTGACCAGATCCAGGGCATAGTCCTAAGCTGTTTTTACCTGGAGAAGCTGAAAATGCGGACTATAGAATTCAGTGTAGAAGTCTTTTAATGAACCTACTATCGGTTAAATGAAGTTTTCTTCTTTTTATGTGACGAAGGTGTCACTCAGTGTATTAAGGAAGGCTAAACACTGTAATTGGCAAAAATTGGCATATATCACTTTCGGGAGTACTGCGTCATTTCCACTAGACTCTTGCAAACATGAGAAGTTTAAGACACACACACGGGGGAGTACTACAAAGAACCTTCCTGTACATACCACTCACCTTCAACAGCCATCCACTTAATGCTGCTTCCTCAAGCTCTGCCCTCCAGTTTTGCCGCAGTATTTTAGAGCAAGCCCTAGACATCCTGTCATTTTCATTTTTAATACTTAAGTATGTGTCCATGACAGATAAATAGCACACTCAACAAAATGAATTACTTCTACTGTTGCATGCCAGGCTCAGTTTATCCTAATTGTCTGAAAAATGCCTTTATAAATAAATTGATTAGAACCAGAGTCCAAACAAGGCTCACATTGCATCTGGTCAATGTGTCCTAAGTCTTTTAAATTTTTAACAAATCTTTTGCTTTTTTCCCCTTGCTATTTTTTATGCATCATTTCTGCCATATAACTTATGGATCATTTATGCCAATTTTCTACATTGTGTATTTGGCTGATTGTATTCTTGTAGCAAAGCTTAATTTATTTATCCCTCATCTATTTAGACCTGTAACCTGGTTAGAAGTTCAGTGGGAGGGGGCAGGGTAAATACACTTCATAGATTAGACTGCCTTTTAAATACCTTTTTTTAAATTCAGTAAAGCTGGTCTTCACCCACTTCTCATTACTACACAAACATACTAACATCATCATATGAACTTTTTTGGTTATAGTATTTCAACTCTACCAAATGCTAAACACCTTCATTTAGATTTCAGATGTGTAACTGTCAGCTAATATTTTTTGAAGTACTTCCTATAAATCAGGCAATGAGCCTTTATCTCAATTAATATCAACATATGAAGGTAAGTACTATTCTTGTTTTCGAAATACAGAAACAGACCATAGAGCTTTAAGTAATTTAAATTATACCAGAATGTGCCTTACATAAAATTAAATCTAATGTTCGAAGGATTTATGATTTAACATAATTTTTCTTTTCCTTATTTTTGTGCTCTACCACAATTAGGATGCAAAAGTAAGTTTATATTGGCTACCAAAAATTTACATTCTTTTCCTCCACTAAAATATAGTGTTGCCTTTTAATTACAAGATTGCTAGTAATGCCTAAAGTTAGGATCTACTTGGTCCCTTTTTATTCTGTTGTACAAAATTAGCCATTTTGGAATTTTTTTTTAAAGAACAGTTTTTACAGATATAGCTGCTTTGCCTTCCTTTGGTATTTAAAAACAAGTACTGGTTGTTTTGATAAATCAACAATACCTTTTGTCCCAGAGTGTTCTGGAGAGGTCTTGGAACGGCTGTCTCTAAAGACAGTTAAATAAGAATTCCAAGCAGAAGACATCTCTATAAATACATGCTTTTTTAAGCCTGGAAAACATTAGGTGAAGCATTATGGAAACTGGGCTGGGTTGGAAAAGGCATTACTTGCTTCTTATTTGGAAGTTTTGAATTTTAACACTAAGATAATGTTTCCTATACTGTATATGATTTTTTTTATATGATTGAAGAACAATTTCTTACATTGCTAGTGAGTTTGCATTGGGCTTGACTGCTTTTTGTTATAGCAGTGGTGCCCAGCACATTGGTAGGTAAATCAGTAGCTATTAACGCTGCAAATCGCCTTCTGTGGGCTCCAGTGTTTTGGGCACAAAATCCTGAATGACGATGGGCTGTCAATAGTGGAATGCTCCTGCAACGGTGAACTGCTCTTGATCCTCTAAATCGAGCATGTCCTTCATGTCAGTTTTCACATCCTTAAGACTCCCTCGCTGGATCTGCTTACCAGAGTCTCACATTTTCCCTCCACAGGAAGCTGAAACCCCACGTAGTGTTCTTGAAGAAATTGGACTGACATAACTCTCCTCCCTTGTTGCTGACTCCCTGTGGCATTTCACACACTGTAGATGATCACTGCCTTCATGTCCATGTTAGCTAATGGTGTAAGATGTCTTGTCAGTATTACTGTTTCGCTAAGCTGCTTCATTCAGGCCTACACAATTTTTTTAAAGGGAATTTTGGTTAATCAAATGATAAGGGACTTCTTATAAATATGAATTTGAAAGATGCAGAAAGATACCTCTTCTGGATATTTTAAAAGTTTCTAGGTCAGTTTCTCATGATTATGTGCATATATGAAAATGACACATCTGTACACATGTATATCAATTTGACAATATGCATTTATTCCTGTATTTGACAAAGGACACAAATTATAATGTGAAACTTGGTTTTATGAAACCAAAGACTAGTGCAGCATTTTAGTATATATAATACAAATAAAGGGAATTAACATCATGTATCAAATGAGAATTTAACTGTTAAAACTAATCAAAAAAATTTATACCAAAGACCCCTATTGGACTCAGCATACTTCAAAACAAAGGGAATACAGACTGTTTCGATCACTAAATTGGATTGATGCTGTTTTACACAAATTATTTCCTAAACATTCCGAGTGAATGGAGCAAGGAGCAAAGATTGCTTCATGTTAGTGAGCACATAATTTTTAAGGCCAAGGCACACTTGACTCTGAGATGAATTTTTTGTGGTCCTAATCATTTAGTTATTTGTTTGGATTGCTTTGGATGCCCCCAAATAAAGTGGGAATGTAAATCTACCACCAATTCTCCATACCAGTATCTCATAGAAGCATCTCGCTTTCTTCAGTGTTGCATAAAGTCATTGTTTAAAGCACGAATATTCCTTCTGGAGTGCTTGTTAAGGCCAAATTTATTTTGCTTCCCTACTGCTTCCTTCCATTTAGAAGTGCTGCAAACTTCACAGCAGCTTCCTTTCCTTCCACAGCACTGCCTAGTTATCAGAAATCTTATCGAGAATTTAAAAAGACACATTTCATATAACAAAGTGAAAATGGAATGAAGTAAAATGGCATTAGTTGGCCCCCTATTTTAAAAAGTTACATAATGGTTCAGCATCTCTTTTATACATCATTATACATATGTAAGCGTTGTGTTTATGGTTTACACTTTCACTCGTATATGCTCGGCTGGATTAAGCTTTGTCGTGATTGTGACCAACATTCAGGCCACGTGAGCACTGTCTTATCACATCGCCAATTAGTTGTAATAAATGTTTAACCTACAAACACGGTAGTGTGTTTTTCTCTTTCGAAGTCTGTCAACCTGGAGGGCTGCTGAAGACTTTTTCCAATAAAATGTTGACGATTCCCCTTGCCCCTCCTCTCCCCTTGAGTGTAGTGGTGGGTTAGAAGCACACACACACACACACACACACACACACACACACACACATGAAATACAAGATGGTTCAAGGAGCCTTGACTTCAGATTCATTCTGAAAAATACGCAGATTCCATGCTACCAAGAGCTTACCAACATTTATTTTCGATCAATAAATGCCGCTTTGAAAACCTTGATGTAGTTGGCTTTTTTACCTTTCTGAACTAACGCCTGAGATCATCACAGGTAAAAAGGTATTCCAAATGTTCCAATTCCTCTGACTTCCCATGTTACAGGAAGTGCTGGCATGTGCAGCAGAAATGGACGTATTTGCAGCCCATGACTAATGTAAGGGACAAATCAAAACTTTATCATAATAGTAAAGGAGTTTCCTATTACTGCAGATAGGAAACATTACATTCCAAAACTGGGATATTTAAGGGCAAAAGAACTATCATGAAATTGTTAGTTTACTAAAGAAGACACAAGTTTAAAGTGCTTGTCAATGCACCTATTCACTAAAAAACCTGTGGTCTCCTACCAGCAATGTAGCGTTGGAATTTTTCAGTCATAAATAGTAATCAGATTCTGTGTATAAAGATTAATAATAAATTTAAGCTCAAGATGGACATTTATCCAGATAGAGGTTTATAACTTCCCTTTTTCCAGTATGACCCATTAACATTCAAGGGAAAAGTCATCAAAATCGGTTGTCTTAAGCTCAGAAGGTAGTTTTCTGCTTTCCTCCCATGATTTAAGAATATTCAGCTTCAGGGCTGCAGATGTAGCTCTGGTAGAACACTTGGCCTGGTATGCCTGAGGCTCTGGATTCAGTAGCCAATAACACAGATATTCATGTTTGCATACCACACTTAATCATGTAATCTTGGTTGCACTTAGAAAAGGTGTTGAAAAATACTGACTTCAGTGATAATTATTCAGCACTAGTGAAGCTTGTAAATTCAGAAATTTTTAGGGTGAAGCAGGCATTTAAATCTGGAACAAATCTGATTCCTTAAAATGAAATCATTCTGAATGACATACTTGTTTATTAACTACAGATTAAAGAACTTTCATACTTAATATCATGAAGAAATCTCAATCTTCCTGAGTATCTGTCTTCAGTATTTTTGCATTTAATTCTATTCCCAAATCTAAAATTGCCAAATACCACATATCCTGAAATTCAAGATCCAAAGTATGTCAATGGAAAGAGAGTTAGACAAAATTTATAAGGAGTAAGAATGTTTTCTTATTTATGGCCTGAAATGTAGGGATAATATGCCTGAAACTTTATACATGAGGTTCTCTTGCTTTGACCACTGTTCTATGATTTTTATACCAGAATTGCTTTGACACTAGGTATGTTCACTGGCTGTGACTCTAATTTTCTTGTAAATGACAAAATAAACCAAATCCATGTATAAAGAACTTCCTAATACATTATTTTAAAAACATAAGCACCCTGGCAGAAACCTCCCAGCTGAAGTGGGGAGGGGTGCAGGTACAGGATAGAAGGGGGCAAATGGACCCTACCTTCCAGTACTTTAAAACTGAGAAAAAAATTTTAAAACAAAAAAGCTGTTTCGCTTTTGCATATAGGAAAAATCCGTTATTTAAAAAGGACGAACAAGAATGAAAGGCCATAACAGTGTTGTAGAAGCAGCAAAGCTTATGGCTGGTAATAAATTTTCTGTAGTCTTTCTGGAAGGTAATTTGGAAATGTAATACTCATCTTGATGTAATATATCGTAAGAAGTGATCAGAAAAGTGTGGAAACAGTTAAGGAAATCCATCACAGGATTAGTCTGAGCTACCACAAAATTAAAAATCCAATAAGGACGTGGTTGAATAAACTGGTAGATGTACACTCTGCAGTAAGTAAAAATAAAAGAACAAGACTTGAAGAAACACTTTTTCTTGTGACAGACATTCAACTAGAGCCAAAAGGACTGGAACAACGCCCTGGGGTTAATTCTCTCTCAGGGTTAGAACGACAAATAATGTTCATGTTGTTGGGCTTTCTACACTAAATACACTTTGTAATTATCAAAGAATAAAAGTATTTTTAAATGGGATTCCAGGCCCAGACTCACGAACCCATCTAAGCTTATAACCTTCTCTCCAGGTATGTAGCACCCATAATAAGTAAGATACACAATCATTTTAGAACAAAACGGCTTTATTTGGATTTGGGACTCCGAACAGTTCTGTCTCTACTGTCTGACCTCCTGCCACCACGACTCCTAGACCTAGACCTGCTCCTGCTCCTGCTCCTGCTCCGGCTCCGGCTCCGGCTGCGGGTCCGACTCCTGCTTCTGCTTCTGCTTCTGGTTCTGCTTCTGGTTCTGCTTCTGCTTCTGCTTCTACTCCTGCTGCGACTTCGGCTCCGGCTCCGGCTCCGGCTCCGGCGGCCCCTGCGGATGTGGTTGTGCCTGCCCCGGCCCCGGCTGCGGCTGCGGTTCCTTTTTCTTCCTCTGCTCCGGGAACTGTGCCTGTCACGACTTCTTGTGTGTTTGTGAGATTTCTTACTCCTGTGACTGCTTCTCCTCTTCCTCTCGGACTCCCCGTTTCTCTTGTAGGAATGGTCTGGACCAGGGCTTCTCCTCCTCCGGGGCCTGCCATAGTAATCCTCATGGTGGCCTGCCCTCTCCCTCCTGTCTAAGTTTTTACCAAAGGAGGAGCCAGTCCGATCTGGAGACAGGTAGAGGTCTCTGTTAGCTTCCCAAAATTCATTGTTGGGGTTTCTGAACACATGGAGAAAGTTGCAGTGTTTTCCTCTTGGACACTGTTGTATTTCAAATAAACCTGCATGGTGGTGATAAAATGACAGTCACTGCCGTGCGTTCCAAAGGTGGCATTTACCCTTTCACAATGGGGCACTCCGGGTGCTGGATAAGTTTCAACTATTGCCTTCCTTTTATTAATTAAAAGGGGCTTACATAGACTGAAGTAATAATGTAGTACCCAGAATTCCAAAAATATTCAAATGCTCCAGTAAATGGCATTTGGAAAGGTAACAAATTTGAAGTTTTAATTAACCAGAATATCTTGTATCCCTATTGTAGTGCAGAGTGCAAGAGAAAGCGTGGTAGGGTTGGGGATATAGCTCAGTGGCATAAGCGCCTGCCTGGCAAGCGCAAGGTCCGGAGTTTGATCCCCGGTACCGCAAAAAAAAAAGAGAAAACGTGGTGACCACACTGTCCTTCCTAAAGCTCCATCCACTGAGTGACCATTTTCATCCCTTATTAAAATGAAAGAACCAGGCCTCAGGGTCCATGTGGCCACATGCTTTGAGGGCATGGTGATGGCAGAATGGAACTACTGGGCAAAGGAGAAGGCCAAGCGTAGGTAGAGGATGCTGCATGTTCTCTACATTTTAAGAATAAGATGATAAACACTGGCCTTAAATTTACAAAGTGCTTTTAGTACAGAAGATTCTTGGCAAGCTAAATCTATTTGAACTACTCAGATCTTTTCGAGTAGCTGTAATCTTTTTTGGGACTATCAAACTAAAAAAAAAAAAAAACAGCAAATTCCCCAAATACATAAAGCAGTTAAAAATGAAATACCTCCGTACCATACACTCTACAGAAATTAATGCAAACTGTATCAAAGACCTAAATGGAGAGAGAAAAAAAAGCTTCACAAAACCTCTTGTGCATCAAAGGACACGAAGTGAAAAGCACACAGAAAGGGAAAAAGTATCTGCAGATCATATTGTGATCAGGTACCTGTATGCAGAGTAAGTCAAGAACTCTGATGACTCAGTAAAAAGCCTAACTAAAGATAGACCAAGGATCAGAACAGACTTCTCTCCAAAGATGATATACAAATGGCCAATAACAAAAACACAGAAAGATGTTCATCATTAATCACTGAGCATAACAACAAATCTGTGATTTAAAAAAAGTGTCCTGTTTTGAGGCAGTCCAAGTCAGAAGTACCTCACTGCAATCAATGACTGGACTCCCAGGAAGGGCACAAGTAACTGCCTTGGTGGGTAAAACAATTCTATCCTTTTCATCTCCTTTAAACTTAGGATATAAGGGTGCTTCTGGTTTGAAGCCAAAGAATTCTAAAATCTTTTTTCACTTTTGATAAATAATGGTTTTTAAATGATAGCATCTATTAAGACAAAGCTACTGAAATAAATCAGACCCACATGTGTAAACACCGTATTGTCTCCCTACTGTAAGAACCTGAAAGCGTAAATAAAATCTGAAAGGTACCATAGATATTGTGAAAGGGAAACAAACTGCTCAATAGGAAGAACAACTGGGATGAGGGAAAGGAGAAAAGGTAAAAGAAGGAAAAAAGTATGTATAGATGCGCAAGATAGCTAAGATAACTGTACTACTAGTTTCTATTGGTTTATTGAAAGGAACAGTTAATGTTTAATTATTCGATCAGTCTTGCATACCTATATCTGGTAACCTGAGCAACTACTCTGAAGATAACAATACGTAATACAACAACCATTGTTGATTTCCTATTATCTTGTTTTGAAATTGTGTATCATTTTTACAGTTTTTGTGTTGTTTTGTTTTTTATTGTTTTTGTTCTTTTCTCTTTAAAATAAAAAAAGACAAAGCTACTAAAGATTCAGACTTTATAAATTATGTATTTTTTACTAAGACATTTTCAGCAGGTGAAAGCACAGAGCAAAGAAATACAAGTAAAGGGAAAGACAAATGCACCCCTGAGGCATTACCTGTTCATCTGGGGGACTTCCACACTGCTTCGGCCAAGGCCACTTTTAGAAATCAGAAAATGACTAGGCCTTTGAAGCTGCGGGCTGTTCTCCAGCCAGCACAGTGCACTGGAATGCCGAATCACTTCCTGTTTCGGCTGCCACTGTCCAGTGAGCCAGTCTAACTGAACACACTGAATGCACACTTAACTGATCCTACAGGGCCACGGGCATGAAATTAAGTAAGGTGTGAAATGCCACCCACAGGTAATGTTCGTGGTGGTAATGACAGTGGAATATTCCTTAGGGACAAGGATGGAATAAACAATGTGAAGACAGCCAATGAATAGAAAACAGCTCTGAAACGGCAACAAGGACGATGAGGCTGCCTAAAGACACTTCTCAGGCTTCCTGAACTGTCAGACCAGTGTCTCAGACTGCAGATCAAAAGACTGAAGCTGTAGCCCCAACTCTGTCACTGATACATTGTGAACTTAGTCACTTCACCTATAAAGTGACCCACAAGGTCTGTTACAGATCTTAACTGTAGTGTCCTTTATTTAGTATGTCTGCTCATCTGCATAAAGCAAAAGCTATGCCTCATCCCGTAAGGGTGCCCCCTACCCCCAGAATATCCCTTTATGTAACAGTGGGACAACTGAGGAAAAATCATTACCACAGATCGCCATTTTCCACCGGGTCACTGGGCAGAATTCACACTGAAGCTGTCTTCCTGCATACCATCGTCCATTAAACAAAGAAAGGGCTGCTTGGCATTCTTCTTCCCTTTAAACCAAGAATCAGAGGATACGCTTTACAGCAACTCATCACAGTTATGCTATTAAGGTAGACCGACCCTATTATTAATTAACAGCTTTATTCATTTACTGTAGGACCACCAAGTTCACTGTTTTTGCACTGCCAATGAGTCCTTACTACAGCATTCAGGCTCCTGCAGCTCACTCACAACTTACTCAGGAACCTTTTTCACTAACCCGCTGAGAGGTTTGGATGCATGGAAATTGGCTTGAGTCGAATCTTCCTAATCCAAGACTGGACCATTAAAATTGCAGAGGTGTTTTCCATTGTTAGTGCCTTTGCTTTCTCAGCTAGGTCTGCTGTGCTCCGTATTACCATGCTTAACTGAACCCATTAGACATAGTGTGACTAGGCAAACAGCAAGAGGAGCAGAAGCGATACGGTAACCACTCGTAGCGGGTCAAACACACACTAACATTATTCTGGGCTTCAATCTCTGGCTCTTTAGATTTTATCTTCTTTATCCTAATTATCCATTTTCAGTTTGTATTTTAATTATTAAAAGTATATACATAATAATATAACCATGTTGTGAAAGATTCAAAACTACACAAGTACTATATACAAAGAATGAAACACAAATGTACTATTTTCAAATCCCTTCTTTGTTGCTGTATCAGCTCTTAATATTTATATTTTTGAAAATATTATGCCTGTGAAAGCTATCTATTCAGTGGAAAAGTCCCAGACATCAACAAAAACAAAATACCATACTATGACAAAACATGAAGACATTTGTGTGCACAATACTTACGTCTGGTATTGAACATAGACATTGCCCCTCAGGTGAGGTTCCAAGTTGCAGCTAACCTAAGGAACAATGAAGAATGCTATCATTAAAAAATTTTAAAGAGAAACCACCCAGTCATTAAATGCTCTTTGTCCAGGCTAACATTCCCCAGAGTCATTAATCACCAGTCAAAGATTCCAAAAGAGGTAACAGTAGCCAACTCTGGAGCCTAAGCATACATCAGCACATAACAGTGCTAGAGGCCTCAGTTATCTGATCTCTGCTGATCTAGGTCTGTCTTTTTTCCCAGAAATATGAAATGTTTCACAGGTATAAAAATATGATAATGTAAATCACCCCAAACGAATACTACCCAGATTCAACACTAATATTTTCCAGACTGAGAATGTTTAAATATGTAAAACATTGAAAATCCAGCTGAAGCTTTTCTGTCCTATTCTCTGTCGCATAAGTGGGCACTATCTGGAAGCTGGGTATAGCCTGCATATTTTAAACACAAATACACACTGCACATATACAGATCTACGCAGACACAAATATATATATATATGCACATATAGCATATACACATGTGTATGCCAGAATATAAATGTATCATACATATAAATGTGTCTACTATGGAAAACGCATATGCACATATTTATGCACATGTACACAAAGAAATGTATATGCAGGCCAGGCATGGTGGCACATGTCTGTAATCCAGCATTAAGGTGGCTGAGGCAGGAGGACTGCTGCAAATTCAAAACCAGCTTAGGCTATATAGCGAGTTCAAGGCCAGCCTGAACTACATAGCGAGACTCTGTCTCAAAAAAACAAAACAAAGAAACATATATGCACTAGTAAGAAATGCGTATTATTTTTTAAATGTTTTAAAATTTTATATAAGTGGTATTTATTCCACATTCCTTTTTTTCCAAGAGGTAATAATGTTAACTAACTGAGCCAACTAGCATATATTAGATAAATCAAATTAACAAATTAATGTATCTGCTCCTCTAATGATGGCTGTCCAAGATGCTTCCAGTTTTCCATCCACAAATAGTACTGTGGTCAGCATTCTTGCACACATCTCTGTGGGTGCAAGGGCCGGGAGCAGCATACCAATCTGTAGGTTACACATATCTTCCACTTCACTATGCCTTGGCAAACTGCTCTCTGGAGTGGTTTTACTAACACACACATGCTCACCTACTCTTGCGATTAGTAGAACTTATAACTTGGTGGCCAATAGGCATGAATAATATCTCATTTTCCTATGCACTGTGCCTATCACTAATTAGGTTGAACATTTGATCACTTACCTTCAAAAATGACAAGTTTGATTTGTTTTTATATAGTGGTACATAAAAAGGTCCTCAAATATTCCTACTACTATTTAGCTTTGATCTTTAAAATGAATCAATAATTTTACAAATTTGCTCTAGAATATTTTTATTAGAGCATCCAAAAGGGGGCAGAATCTGTTCTCAATTACAGGTTGCAATGCCATCCGTAGGAAGGAAGAATGAATAAAAGAGTAAATAAAAGGAGTGCCTGTCAGTCATGCCAAGGACCTTAAAGATCATTTAATACTGTGGTCCTAAGGACCCATTATTAATTTTCCCTAATGAATTCCATGTTCTGAAAATTTTCCTATTAAAAATTTACTAAATAGCTTTCCATTTGTAATCGCCAAAATGATTAGCATGAGCTTGACCATACTACCAGCTTTCTAACCAAAGGCAAAACAAAATCTTCCTAGTTAGTGGGTGCGGCCCGCTATGGTGTGATTTTCATTAACCCATCTAAAGTTTTGAAAGCTCTAGGATTCCCATTTCCCATAAGGGAAGCCACTGAGGATCAAATCCTCTCCCTTTCAGGACAAGGAGAGAGCACTCAGAGGGAAGATGTTGTGGCTGAGAGCACAGGGCTGGTCAAGCCACACTGCCTCCATGGCTGGCTCTTCCACATGTCATCGCTGCGTGTGACCAGGCACTTGCCCTCTAGCAGCTATTCCTTGTGATGAGGAATGCCCAGACAGGAAGGCACAAGCTACACAAACAAAAGATTAAGAGCTAAAAAGACTTGAAAAGAAGGTTTCAAAATCTTGAAATCAGTTGACAGAAATAGAGCATTGAATTTCATGAGTATTTCTGTTTCTTTGCTGTTCTAATTCCCATTGTCATTTCGAGCAGCAGGAAAAAAGCCACAGTTTCTTCATTTCTGTTTTTCTCCAAATTATGAGAGATTTTCCTTGCTCTACGTAACAAAGGCATCTGCATTTAGAACTGATCAAATTACAGATAAGGTAGGAGGGCTCACAATGTCAGGGTTCAACTAATGAGGCCTAGGAACAGCAGAGATTGCCTCTGGCTGTATGCTTGCTTAGGAAATACTGTAAAATAATTCTCTGGCATCTGAAGGCCTCCTTTTCACCTAGTATGCTGCATCACAAACCATGGTCAAGGGACACCACGTTCAGTACTGAAACTAATCAATGATTATAAACAATGTGAGGGAAAAGAAGGAATCAAGATCTATGTCCCTGCTGGGCGTGGTGGCATAAGCCTGTAGTCCCAGCACTGGGTCGGCTGAAGCAGGAGAATCGCTGGGAGTTTGAGACCAGCCTAGGCTACAAAGTGAGCTCAAGGCCAGCCTGGACTGCATAGCCAGACCCTGTCTCAAAAAGACAAAAAGAAAATAATCTATGTGCCTGTGTAGCTCCAGAGAAAAGCACGCTGCTTGGGCAGAAGAAGCAAGCAGGCGGCATCAACACGATGCACCAGCATACTCTGAGTGGAGCCACAGTGCAAACCCCTCAGCTATAGCTGAGGCACCTACAGAGAAAGACACAGGCAGTGTCGCAACTAAGCCTTGGGTAACTACATGCAGACAACCTCACACCGAGAGTTGAAACCTGGCAAAGAGCTGCAGCACAAAGGTAATGAATAAATGAAGGGTCCTTTCCAACCTAGACCTTAGCACTCGGGAAACAGTTTATATCAGCATCAGTAGAGACTGGGGGGTGACATTTCCCAAGCTCTGCAGGCTGACCCCATGCCAGGCACGTACCCGTGCACAATCCACCCAGGTGAACAACAGGGCCCCAGCTCTCCCCACATCAATCACTGCGGGTGAGGCGCACCACGCCCCTCCTCCACACACGCACTCACCTTGAACTGAATCACCTTCCCCACGTTCCTGAACTCGGGCAGCACATCATCATAGAAGTCTAGGAACTGCTGGTAGGTCTCTTCTTCACTGTATTCCAGGCTTGCATCAGGGTCATAGTCATCCCTCCTGCACTGCTCCATTCCAAATGTTGTAAACATGCTTCTAATAAGAAGGGTGGGACTCGATGTGGGGAAGTTATGCTTACGTGAACACCTGCGCACAAAAGAAAAGCGAATTCACTAGTCCAGTAGTTAAAAAGCAGAAATAGAAAGCTTGCTTGAAACTCTGAGAGTCAAGACTCAAGAAACTTAGCTGCTTTGACTTAACTGTAAGCTAACAAACCTTACTCAGACGCCAAGTTTCAGCACTTCAAAAAACGGTCCTAAGACTCACCAATATATTGGCTTTCTTATTAAAATGTGAAAGTAGGGATGATTTTCAAGTTCATATGCCTTTCAGGGGGCTGGGGATTTAGCTCAGCGGCAAAAGCGCCTGCCTGGCAAGCGCAAGGTCGTGAGTTCGGTTCCCGGTACCAGGGAAAAAAAACCAAAAAAAAAAAAAAACAAAAAACAAAAAAAACATATGCCTTTCAGGTGCCTCTGGATGAAGTTCAGAAACCTTTGCTATGTTGAGCCACAGGAAGAAAAAGGCCTACTGTCGTAACAGAGTGTGGTGACAGGCGTGAAATGCCACGTGGCACCTGGGGAGGACGGTGAGAACTAACAGCACAAGCCTGGTTCTACACAATCCTCAAGTGACCTACGTGATTAAAGAATAGGATAATCTCAGAACTTCCAGTTGGTGGAGTATTTCAATCTTGTCTATGTACAGCCTTTTACAGTTTTCATGCTATTCTTACATTTGTCCCTTCTGACCCTTACAACCTGCCAGGACAGCTGGTGCTAGCACTTTCCCCACTGCTCAAAGTAGGAAGCTCAAACTGAGAGAAACACATCTGCCCCAGTCACACGGCTAGAAAAGATGGCTCCACCCCTAAGTCAGCCTACCGTCCGGTGCCTGCTCGCTGGCGAGTATAATAGTAAACATGATTTCATGAAGGTAGCTAACCCCTGTGAAGAACAATTTTCTTTTCAAAGTGTAAGCTACACTGAGGAAGAATAAGCTGACCTGGTTATGCCTGAGTAATTCTTTTAACCCTTTCTGTGAGTTTACATCGTTTTATTTACTTCCTTCTCCTAAAATGGGAAAAAATATGCAGTTCAAAGTTATAAATAAATAAAAATGTCCTGGTCAGTGCTCAAATTTAAAATCAGTAAGATAAGGGCTGGGGATGTAGCTCATCAATAGAGAACTAGCCTAGCACACATAGTCCATCCACACTAATGCCAGAAATAAAAACAAAAACAAAAGTCAGCGGAGTGATACATGCCTATAATCCCCACACTCTGGGAGGCTGAAGCAGGAGGATGACAAGTTCAAGCCCAGCCCGGGAAACACAGCAACTTAGCAAGATTCTGTCTTAAAATAAAATATTTTAGGGGCTGGGGATATAGCTCAGTGGCACAATGCCTGCCTGGCAAGTGCAATCCTGAGTTTGATTACCTATACAAAAAAA